AAATCGGTCTATTAGTTGTGCTGTGTGAGCCAAAACCTCAACCTCCGTATTTCTATGCTCGCACACCTTACGACAAAATAACAATGAAAGTAGACAAATACCTCTCGCAACCAGTTTAGCAAGGCTCTGCGCATCCAGATGGCATGTGCTGGTGGTTCGTAAACACAATAGGCAGGGAAGCTGTGGTACCGAACCGCATCGAATAGCAGGTCGCGGATGATATTCTCATTTGCGGTAAAGTATGTGTCTACAGCTGAGAGTGGAACAGTAATCGGACCTTCTTGAGCGTTTTTATGTTTGTCATACGAACGCACGTGAGATGAGCAGACGTTCTCATCGTTCTCCATATCCACGTCCGAAAACTGCCCAGACCATACGACAAGGGAAATCACAAGTGCCGGACAAAGCCAAGAATAGGCCCACAGTATCAATTTAAACAAACGTGTGCACTTCGTCAGAATATTAAACCACGATATATTACTGGTATTTTGAAGTTCTTGAGTAACGATATTAGGCAGCAATCTCCTCTGAATTGTAAGATTACAATTTTAAGGAGCACAGTTTGTTCTATTCAAGTTTGTGGAATTCACACAAACGGAACCATTTATGGTTATGTAACATAGCTGCAGCTGGTTTATGCAGCATTTTTTCGACCATGTTACCTACTTTCGTTGCGTTTTTCTGTCTTCAGATTTCCTTTTTAGCAAGATATTTCGTCTTTAAGGTTCTACACACACTCGGTTCCTCAAAATTGTACGAAATATATTCAGGCGTCGGAATAAATAGCCTGCCACATGTCATTGATTTTAGTGTACTATGGCATAAAAGTGTGGGAAGGGAGCATTAAGTTAAAAACATTATAATCATATCGGATGAGAACACGAATAAGTGCGCATCGAATATGAAGACAAAGGTCCTAATTACATGTGGGAATCTTTTCTAAAGCCCGCGATTACACCAAACCTTAACTTGCGTTTAAATTTAAATTCCATTTTATGCTTACCAGGGAAAAAAACTGGCGAATATAAATACATTCCCGTGCGGTAATGTACCCTCCTGATTGTATGAAAATCAGTATTCTTTCACTCGTACATTTATTGAAATTGGTAGTACCGACTTTCTGTGACACGATAATAGCACAAATTTTTAACGGAAACATTTTTGTAACGAATCGTGTCCATTCCGACCGTTTCCATGAGCTTTTACGTGTCACCTCCCTTTACTTTCGTATCCCTTAAGCCTTTATCCTATAGAACACCTTTGGTCATTCTGCCGTATTTGATTAAGCTATTAGAAGCGAGTAATAAGAATCAGGTTGCTGAATCGGAAGTTAGGGCAGAGTGAATCTCTTGACCCGATTGGTCCTCATAAGAAATGTTGAGGTTCAGCTAAGTACCAATAAATTACACATCAAACGATTAAACATAGTATTACCATGAAATCTCACTAGACTCGCTAATAATGAAAATGCTAGTGGACATGTATACTTCACGCAATTGCGCAGTGAGTCAAAAGGAACACATTCTGAAGTCTTCGTTTCCGACATTTGGCTCAACCTACTCCCTACCAGAAATTGGTGAGCAATATCGACGGAAATAAGAGGGACCCAGTAGCCCCACCTAATTCACATAACAGTGGTTGGTGTTTGGTATGTGGCTACATTCTATCTTATGTTAGGCGGCTACATTCCAGCATTCCAGTTGACAAATGGGGCGCCGTGGGAAGGTAAGGAGCAAGGTATCAAAGATAGCTAACGTTGGGAAAGAAAGCGGTTTAAAGATAGCTGATAATAGACGCAGTTCGCAGATGTAGACGTAGGCCATAGAGTACGCTCACACAAGGGGCACAAGCCTTAAAGTCCGTTCTGGGGAGGCAAGCGGACGACGACCATGTGAGGTTTATATGAAAAGACTGCGGAGTCGGGCGGCCCGGTTCAAATGCTTTTGGATAGCGTCTTATGCCGAAGAACATCAGAAAGCTGAGATTGCATTTGCTGTGTAACCAGCAGATAATCAGAGATTTCGATAAAAGGATATCAGCTTTCCGCAAGGACCGTCAAAACAGACAAGGTGCTGGGGATGCAGTATATGTCCGAACAGGAATATCCGTTGTCGGACGAGAAAACACCCTAGCTCTGGAGTATGAATCCATCTGGATAAAGATAAGGAAGGTAAATTCGCAGAAACTAGAATTCCTGGTTGTATACAGATCACCAACCATATGAGTGCAGCTGACGACTTGCTCCTTAGTCTGGTGAAAGAAGCAGCTAGCCGCCAAGAGGTTCTTATTGCTGGTGATTTCATCGCACCTGCTATAGATTGGAAAAATCTGACAGTGGAGGGAGCGCAAAACTCCTTTAGTTCTAATTTAATGGAACTCATCCTTGACCTCCCTCTGGCACTGAACGTTAAGTGACTAATCAGATTTCGAGAGAGCCAGAGAGGTAGTTGCTTGAACCTCATTTTTACGAAGGATTTATCCTACATCGATGAAGTGCATTCAAGTGCCCCGCTCGATAATAGTGTTCATACTACGCTAATGTGCGATTACTCACTCAATTCTCAACGTCTGAGGAAATTGGAGAACCAGCCGGATATTAGTTCAATGAAAAATGCACTTTCGTCCGTGAATTGGGTTTGTCTGCTCAAGAGAGATCCGGAGGACGACTGGAGATCGCTCAAGACGATTGCATTAGATCTCATTAAGCGTTATTGTCCGGTGAAGGTAGACAAGACGACTAGTCGTCCTGCCTGGTTGACGAGAGACCTTAACAGAAAATTAAAGAAGAAAAATAAGAAATGGAAGTTATTCTGAGAAATTGGGTCACCAGTACACCTCGATGAGCTCAGTCGCCAAAGAAATGCGGTAAAAATCGATTCGTCAGATCAGGAAAAACTATGAATCAAGAATCCTCCAACAGGCTGGTGACAAGCTCAAAATTCTATTCCTCTATATTAATAGAAGATTAAAAAAAAGGGTTCGGTCGCAGAACTTAAGGATGATAATGACGTAGAAGTCGTCGAAGTCGTGAAAGTCTGATTGGAAGGTCGTTACAATAACTCGAGGTTCACAAGAGGCGGCGGCTCCCGTCCCTCCTACATTATTTCACCATGTAACTTACGGGATGAAAACGCGGGTACCAATTTTAGACCTTTATGCTCCACTAAACTCTCTAGTACTCTACGCTGTTATACCATTTTTTCAGTAGATAACCACCACTTCAATCGCTTAAGTTGATACCGGTGTCACCTTTTCAGTAGCGAAGTCCGATATTTTATCACCCAAGCTCACGCGGAACGTAGGTACAAAGCATAAAATGCCCAATCTACGAACGGCTCATGGCGCACAGATGCCTATAATTAGGGCGATCCAATTGTCGCCAGACTTCCTCACCGGCAGCAAACAACACACATTTTAGTTAGTCCATTTGCTGCATGGCATATTGTGTTGGGCCTTGATTTCCTAACAAAGTTTAAGTGCTCACTCGATATCAGCAATCACACCTTATGTTTCGGGGCCCGATCCCCACCTTGCCAACCACCTCCACCGATGTTTAATGAGGAAGAGGTGTGCGCAGCCATTTCAGACACTGTAGCTATACCACAGACGAACTTAGACAGCATCTTAACTCACCACACTCACCTCGAAGAAAACGACCAAGGAGAGCTGAAGTCCCTGCTTGCGCCCTTCCTAGAAGTCTTTGCGTGGGACGAACATTCTTTTGGACGTTCATCGGTCCTCCGGCATGCAATTGAAACGGGTACAGCTAAGCCCGTATGGCAGTCACCAAGGTGCATTCCACCACAATTTCAATAAGGAGTCAACGAAATGATCGAAAGGATGCTCGAGGCTAGAGTGATATGCCCCTTGCACTCACCCTCTGCTTCACCTGTGGCGCTTGTTCCCAAAAAATGGTAAACTACGGTTTCGCATAGATTACAGACGGATACTGATTCATTTCCGCTGTCAAGAATCGACGTTGTACCCGGCGCATTAGCTGCCGAGAAATGGTTTTCAACACTCGACCTCAAGTCGGGTTATTGGCAAGTCGAGGTAGAACCGAAAGACCGGACAAAGACGGCCTTCATAATCCCCCAGGGCCTGTTTGAATTTGAAACGATGCCCTTTAGCCTACGCAACGCCGCCACCATCTTCCAGAGTCTAATACAAGCGGTGTTAGCCCACCTCTATCCCAGCTGTTGCCTCATCTATTTAGATGACGTCATTGTCTTTGGCAGGACACTCGTTCAACACAATGATAATCTGAAGGCCGTCATAGAAGCTCCGGGGGACGCCGGGCTCTGGCTAAACCCTTTATTGTCGAAAAATTCCTCCCTTCTTCCACGTATATAGGCGCGAAGTTTGAAATTGTTTGTGAATTTCAAGTCTCTCGAGCTTACGTGTTTTTAGTCTCTATCTCAGTATAGAAGACACGCTTCTTGGAAATTATTCAAGAATTGACTATATATTTCCAAAGTTTGGAATTATAGACGTGGAAATCTCCATCCTGTTGCTCCGAAAAATTCCTCTGCTGTGAATTATTTCAAAGTTTGGAAATTGCTTCTTGGACGTGTCGATTTTGTGAAAAAATCCTCTGCACCACAAAAATCTGCACATCTCCGAATTTCACATCGAGGCTGAGTCGTTATATCACTGTGTTGTTATATACCCTTATCCTAATATT